GAGAGCAGCCTCCCTCCGGGACTAGGCCGCGGCGGCTCCGGCCCCGGCTCAGCCGGACGACAGAACCGGGTAGGAGGCGGCGGCCCGCGGCAGCGAGCCCCGGCCCGGGGACGGCGCCATACCGGGCCCCTGGTCTGGTGACGCTGGTCGCCGGCGGCTCGGTGTCGACTCCCGGGTCTGGGTTGGATGGAAACCGGCCGAGCCCCCCCTTCGCGGCCGAATTGCAAAGCGGGGAGCGGGTTGCGCCACTGCCCCGCGGGAAGAGCGCGCTGCGCCCCTGGTCCGCCGGGCCGGGGCTGCGGCGCAAAGGGGCCGCACGCTTTACTTTGCTGCTCGCGCCCAGGCGAGCGGGATGCGCGACCGCCGGACTCCGCGGGAGACGAGCGGGACTCCCCGCCCCACAACCCAGGAGGTGTGGGAACCCCAGGGGTGAGGGGGGCTGACCGACACCTTCGTCGCCTTCTCCAGAAACGCAGGTCGATACCTTACTTTTCTCTTGGCTGAAGGAGGGAGGCCAGGAGAGCGAGGCTGCTCCGGCCATCTCCCCCGGGACAAGTGAGCTTGGGGGAGGGAGTGGCGCAGCAGGCTCCCCTTGGCCGGCGCTCTTGGGGGTGGGGGAGCCCCGTGGAGCCCGAGGAGGGGCTACACACTCTAGAGGAGCCAGCACCCTTGGAACTGAAGGGCTGCGTCTCGGACTTGGGAGGAAGGATGGGGGGCTCAAGCTTTGGTTTGGAGGCGAGTGTCCGGCTGTGAGCTGGCCTGTGCTCCAGGGTGGAGGACAGCCCTGAGTTGGGGTTCCCGAGCCCCAGGGGGTGGACTAGCCGCTTGAAGGTAGGGCCTCTTCCAGGAAAGGGTGTTGCATTTTGAGGAGGGGTCTGGGACACACGGAGGGGCGGTTGTGATTTGGGGGACTCTGGAGATGTCGGGGATGGGGGACCAGTGCTGCGAGCTGAGTGCGCTGGGCTTTGCTTCACTGCCTTGTAACTTTCTGAGCTCCAAGGGACGGTTTGGAGTTGCTTGTTAGACTCGGGGTTTCGTCCCGGGTCTGCGAGTTTGTACGCTGGGGACTTGGGGAGGAAGGCTAGGCAGCCAAGAGGGGGCCCGAAAGGGGCTGGGAGCGTTTGGAGCAAAGCTACGTCTTGCACTTTTGGCAGCTGCGGAGGAGCGCTCAGCTCCGCCTCCTCTGAGTCCTATTGCGGGCGCTACTGCTTCCCCGGGCTGCGCGATCTAACCACACGTTTTCTTCTCTCTCCTAGGCTTCTTTTGGAAGTTCGAGCCCAGGTTTGTCTTCTTTTTCTTACGTCTTCGGTGGGTCCCAGAGGGAATCTGCGTAATTGCAACTCAGAAATCCATTGCTGAAGGTTCCCCCATAAAAATTTATCCTGCAAGTTTTTCATTTGTTTTTAAGAGTTTCAGAGTGTAATAGGTAATTAAGTTGTTTGAAGAACAAACAGTTGTATTGTTCCCTTTTTCTTGTATATTGGAAACATACTTTGTTACTAGTAAGCCAATAACAGACGAGTTTTCTTTTAAGTAATATGTCTTTAATTCTCACCTATCTTGTATATTTTTTTTCTTCTTCACGTCTCAAACAATTAATTCTAAGTCAACTTTCCATTAACTTCAGCGATTTAGCTCAGATTTTAATTTTGGTTTCTTTCAGAGATTGACTATTAAGAATACGGGGCTGCTTAGACAGTGTCTCCCTATCTCCTCTTTTCTTGGTCTCTTTTTATTGAGAGAGGTCTGTAGATTGCTTTATCATTGCAAATGAAGAGTTAGTAAAACTACCTTAAATCAAAGGAGAAACAACTTCCATTTTGGCACAGAAAAGTGATCATTTTTTGGCTGTTTCTTAGATCACTTTAGAACAGTGTTTCTTAACCTTTTGATGATCAGGGACTTCTATCAGATTCTGGTGAAAGCAAGAGAGGCTCTACCCAGAACACTGCCCACATGCATAATTTGCACACTGCTTAAGGTTTGTGGAACCCCTGAAGCTGGTCAGTGGAGAGAACCTTTCAGCATGTTCAATTTTCATCCCATTTAGTCCCCCTCATGGCAGCCTTTTTTCCCACTCCAGGAAAAGCACCTCTTTAACTAGTCCAACTCAGACTTTTTAATGACTCTACTGAGAGTCACCTAGTTAATCGAGCCTGGACCAGGTCCCAAGTCATCTATTACAACATGGTGCTTAGAGTGAACATTTCATTTTCCTGGAATATTTCTTTTTGTATTTACTTAACTTTCAAGACCTCACTTGATTATCATTGAAACTATTTAAAAATAACCTCATCAAGAAAAAGAAATGTGTGTCTGTTTGTTAAATAACTGTTTATACCCTTACAGTATTGTTAAGTTGTGTAAAAAGTTTCTACAATTTTGAGGCAAGCATTTCTTTGTCATAACTGATGTCAAGAAAAGAATATTTATCTATCTGATGCCAAACATCTGGATGATAATGGAATTTTTCCATCTTGCATCACTGTCTGCGTTAGTTTGCAATCTGAATAAAAAGAAAAAAGACTGTGATTTTGGTGTCCAAATAGAGATGCATAAGCTGTTTTTAATCAATTAGTCAATTTTAAAAAGAATTTTAGAACTGGAGAGACTCTTGAGGTCGTTTAAGCCAACCTCTGTATTTTACAAATGAGGAACTGGATCTAGGCCCAGAAAGTTTAAATGACTTGCCTCAGTTCCCAGCAAAAGCCAGGACAAAGCCAGAAGTAGACCCTCAGGCCCTCCCATTTCTAGCCTTGTTGAATACCTTCCACTTTCTACATTAAGAGAGATCTGCTTTGGGCCAAGTGATCCAGGGTTAAAAGAATTATAATACATGCTACTCGCAAAGAAGTGAAAAAAGGTGCCATCAATTTAATTCTTGACGCTTATCATACTATAGAGACTTTCAGGAATACCTCAGAAACAACACACTATGTAATGAAAACTAGTGTGCTCTTAAGCCATTTGATAAACATTCATCTTGCATGTTTAAAATGAAGTTAAGTCATATATACCTCAACAGGTTTTAAAAGGAACAGATAGTTAAAAGTTAATTACTATAATAGAAACTTCTTAAAGAGTTAAGCATCAAAGAAATCATGTTATATTTAGGACTAATGATGAGAATTCTCTAATTCAAAATAAAAAACATTGAATTTTGTCTGTAGTTTGCCCATGTTGTTGTTGTTGTTAAGTGCCGTCGAGTAGTTTGCCCATAGTGAAAAAAAACCTGTTGACCTAGTAAGTGTTTTGGTAATGATTGCACATTATCCTCGAAGTTTGTTTGAAATTTCAAAATACTATTTGATGAAAATTTTAGCTTGAGTAATAAAAAGATCAAATATGTTGCATTGAATATGCTTCCTTCCGCTTCTGTCTTATCCCAACCCCAGATTCTAACACTTCTGTCACTGCTCTGAGAGTCTCTGGCCTAACTGAATTAGATTTCTAGAGCAGACAAATGGAGAAAAGCATGTTTTCCTTAAATTTTCATTTATTGGAATTATGGGTTTTATCCATTTCTCTTGGTTTTGGGATTATGCCGTTGACTTTACTTTCATCTATGAAAAATCATAGTTTTATAAATTATGTGAATAGACCAACGTGAAAGAGTATTGTAATGGGATACATCTTCCAAAGTCCTTTTAAAGAGTATATGGATATAGAGAGAGACTTTTTACATAGATTGCTTTTAAAGAAATTTATATTTATTCAATCGACTTGATTTCTGTTGTGTGTTTTTGTTTTGTTTTTTTTTTGTCTTTATTTAAGGATTAGTATTTGGATACAATTAATAATCTCTTTTCATGAAATATTAGCTTTATTGTATAATGGATTTTTATGAAGTCTATTCATGGAGATTTAATCTTTCTGACATTTTGCTATTTCTTTTAGACAAGTGTGTTAAACTAACTGATCAGCAAGCTTGGCTGTTTTTCTACTAGGACATTTATTTAGGACCACTCCTTTTAAATCACTTTGCAGTTATTACAAGTTATTTTCTCGTTGATTAGATTCCTTGTTAAAGTCTTTGTATATGACTTTGTCTTGTTCTTTTGCTGATTTGGCTATCTTTTCAAAACCATATGGTTTTACTTTATAAGCTATAAAATATATAGTAAATGCATTTAATAAAACACAGACATAAAAATTAAAGGGCACTGTCAGACAAACGCAAATCATTTTCTTGTGTAAATAGCCTTGTGAATTTGTAAAGTGATTCAGATTGTTTGGTTTCAGTGGGCTCTCTGTCTTCTGAAGATCATGATTTTGACCCCACTGCTGAGATGTTGGTCCATGACTATGATGATGAAAGAACTCTTGAAGAAGAGGAAATGATGGATGAGGGTAAAAATTTCAGTTCTGAAATTGAAGACTTAGAAAAGGTAAAAGGGTTTATTATGGTATTTTAGTACATGCTTATAGAAAAGATTTTAAAATTCTATTATTGAATTATTTTACATTCTACCTACAGTAAATATGACATTAACATCTTTGTTTTTGACCTAACTTTGGCAGAAAACACTGGTTTTCCTTGAACTCTAAGAGCTTATAGGCTAAAGGGGGATTAAAAAATGGGAGAAAAAAAATTTTTTTTTTAACTTTTTATTGTGAATTCATTGAAGGTTTACAGAGCAGATCATCAGTGCCACAGTCAACAAATCATATATTTTGTTTGATTTCAATGATTATAATCTCCTCCAAGTAGCAACACTTATCCCACTTCCTCCCTGTGGTTCTTATTTCCATTCCACCCTCCTTCCAACTTTTCTTCTTAGGTAACTGTTGCCCTTTTGATCTTGAATGATTGGCTTTGAAGGGTGGCCAAGGGTCATAGTCTTGTGTTCCTCCAGTCTCTTTCTGACTTGTAAGCCTGGACTATTTTATAATTTTGAGATTTGTTCGACATTTCCTCCCACTCTGTCCAGGACCTTCTAATGTAATCCCTTTCAGAGTAATTGGTAGCGGTAGCTAGGCACCATCTAGTTTTCTGGTCTCAGAATTATTATGACTGATGTTCACATGTTCCATTGGTCCATTTGGGCGATTTGATTCTAAGCATCTTCAATTCTTATCACTTTTCTTTCTTCTGCACATGAAGAGACCAATAATTACTTCTTAGATGGCCACTCATGAGCTTTTAAGATCTCACCAAAGTAGGATGTAGAACACTGTCTTTGTGGACTATGTTATGCCAGTTGACCATGGTGTCCCCTGAGACTATGGTCCTGAGTCCTCAGGCCCAGCAATTGATTGCCTTAAGGTATTTGATAGTATCTAATTAAAGTTTTCCTCATTTTGCTCCCTGTAGGGAGAAAAAATTTTAATATCATTGGCTAAAAACTATGAAAGAGGTATAAAAAGAAGATTTAGCCTCCCGTGGAAGTTCGGGAGGCTTATTGAATAGGCAAGACTTCTCTCCAACACTTCTCTCCTACATGGAGCAAAAATCCCAGGGCGTTGCTTGCTTGTGCCTTCTTGATTTGTTAAAGGTGGTGAGAAACAGTCCAGTTACAACATGATAAGAGAAGATGTTTGATATAAACATGTCTGACTACAGTTTAGTCCTGCAAATAGATGTTTTGTCAGTAAAGTAGTAAGAACTGAAAATTTTATTTACTATGTTAACCCAGTATTTGGGTAATCTGGTAGAGATTTTTATGAGCTAATAAATTGTATGTTTTGGACTTGTGGAGTTTATGGAGTTTGCAGTAATAACTGTATTTTGATCTTTATTTTGTGAGTGTTAAAGAAAATTGGGGATGATAATGCACCAGACTGCAAAGCTATTTGAACTGCAAGGTTTAAGCTCACCAGTTGCTCCTCGGAAACCCTATACAGGGTCGCTATGGGTCGGAATCGATTCAATGACACTTCAACAGCAACAGCATATACAGCAAAGCGTATACTCAGTTATTCACAAAAATACCTTGTTCCTAGTCCTGTTTCTTTCATTTTGCTTGTTATCCACAGTAATTCAATCTTTGCTTTGTAATATCTGTTACTGTGTTGGAAATTCAGAAAAGTTACATATTTCAGCTTCTCTATTTTGAATAGTTTTGCTTCTTGATAGTTTATGACACTCTTGGATATTGGGATGGAAAACTACAGATGACTTTTAAACAAGTTTTAGAAGTGATCCAAAATGCTTTCCTTAAAAGGCTGATCTTTCTCGCAGTGAGCGAGGGACAAGAGGAGCTATTCCTAAGAGTAACTGTCCAGTACTGGCTCTGGGTTGTAGTCTGATCTGTACCAAAAGCTTATTGCCCTCGAGTAACTTCTGATTCATAGCAACCCTATAGGAAGAGCAGAACAACTCCATAGGGCTTCTAAGACAAGAATCTATGGAAGCAGAGTGCCACATCTTGTTTTCTACAGAATGACTAGTGGGTTCAACCTGCCAAGCTTTGGGTTATCAGCCAAGTGCTTAACTACTAAGTGGTGAGGGCTTCATCTGATCTAAAGAGCAGCAGTGCAGATGTGGTCTCTCTCTTTATTCATGAAGCAAATGTAAAGAGGAAGAATCATTGCTTTGTAGAAGGAATTTTAAATAGTGTTTTAATTATTTCTGTATAATTTAAAATAATGCATTTCAAAATATTTTATTGAACCAGTGAATTAGATAGGATAAGCACTGGACTACTAACAGCAAGGTTGGCAGCTCAAATGCACCAGCCTTTGGAAACCCTCTACAGGATCACTGTGAGTCCAAACCATTTCAGCTTAACAACTACAGTGTGTTAACACCACCACTCATTGATCAATTTGTCTTACTGTGGTGGCAGTTGTATTGCTGTGATGCTGGACGCTAGGCCACCTGTACTTCAAATATGAACAAGTCACCCATAGAGAATAGGTTTCAGCAGAGGTCCCAGACTGAGACAGACTAGGAAGAAGGATCTGGCGATTTGCCTTGAAAAAAAATTAGCCAGTGAAAACTTTAAGAATAACAGTGGGCTACTGTGTGATACAGTGATGGAAGGGGAGTCTCTTGGGTTGGAATGTACTCAAAATGCAAGTGAGGAGGAGATGCTGTCTCAGAGTTGTTGATGTTAAGTGCTGTCGAGTCAGTTCTGACTCAGAGCGACCCTCTACAGGTTTTCCAAGGGGCGGTTGGTGGGTTTAAACTGCCAGTCTTGGGGTTAGCAGTCCAGTGCTTATTCTACAGCACCTCAAAGTAGAGGTGATGTGACCTTAATGATATGGAGAGAGTAAAGCGTTGGAGATGTGGTATGGCTCAGAATGAGAAGAAACAGCTGTGTACATCCATTAGTAATCAGAATGTGGAATGCACCAAGTGTGAATCTTGGAAAACTGGAAAACCATGAGAATGTAGTGGAACACATAAAGCTCAATATCCTAGGCATTTATGAGCTAAACAAGCTGGTGTTTGCTCTTTTGAATCAGATAATCATGTGGTCTACTATGCTGGGAATGACGAATTGAAGAGGAACACTGTCACATTCATTGTCAAAACGAACATTTCAACATCTCTCCTGAAATACAACACTGTCAGTGATGGGATAATATCTATATACCTACAAGGAAGGTCAGTTAGTACCACTGGTATTAGATTTATACATCAAACACTAATGCCAAAGATGAAGAAACTGAAGATTTTTACCAATTTGTGCAGTCTGAAATTGATCAAATATGCATCGAGATGTATTAATAATGGTGATTGGAATGCAGAAGTTGGAAACGAAGAAAAGTGTCAGCAGTTGGAAAATACTCGTCACTGGAGACTACATGATAGAACTTTGCAACATCAGCACCTTATTCATTCATTGCAAATACCTTTTTTCAGCAACATAAACACTGACTGTTCACATGGACCTCGCCAGATGGGGTACATAGAAATCAAATCAACTATATCTGTGAAAAGAGACACTGGAGAGCTGAATATTGTCAGTCAGAACAAGTACAGGGGTCACTGTGGAACACACCATTAATTACTTATATACAAGTTCAAATTGAAGCTGACAAATTTAAAACAAGTGCATGAGAGACAAAGTGTGACCTTCATGTACCCTATCTGAATTTAGAGACCATCTCAAGAATAGCTTTGACAAGTTCAAAACTGATGACCAAAGACCAGATAAGTTTGCATGACATCAAGGACACCATATATGAAGAAAGTAAGAGGTCATTAAAAAGACAGGAAAGGAAGAAAAGATCAAAATGAGTATCAGAAGACTCTCTAATACTTGCTTATGAATGTAGAATAGCTAAAGCAACTGGAAGAAATACTGAACAGAACATTTAAAAGAGCAACTGGAGAAAACAAAGTAAAATATTTTAATGAAACATGCAGTGACCTGGAGTTGGAAAACCAAAAGGGAAGAACAACCTTAGCATTTCTCAAGCTGAAAACACTGAAAAAAAGAGTTTAAGTTGAAATGTTGAAGGATTCAATGGGCAAAATACTGAATAACACAGGAAACATCAAAGATGGAAGGAATACATAGTTACTGTACCAAAAAGAATTGTTTTCAGGAGGTAGCATATGACGAAGAACCAGTGATATTGAAGGAAGAAATCCCAATGTTGCTGAAGGTACTGGAGAAAAGCAAGGTTGCAGGAATTAATGGAAACCCAGTTGAAATGCTTCTACCAATGGATGCAGAGCCAGGGGGGCTTACTGGTCTATGTATGCCAAGAAATTTGGAGAATAGATACCTGGCCAATGGACTGGAAGAGATCCATATCTGTGCCCATCCCAAAGAAAGGTGATCCAACAGAATATAGAACTTCTAAAATAGTGTCATTAATACCACATGCAAGTAAATTTTTCCTGAAGATAATTCAAAAACAGTTGCAGCAGTACATCAACAGGAAATTCAAGCTGGATTCAAATGAGGATGTGGAATGAGACCTATTACTGATGTCAAATGGATTCTTTTTGAAAACAGAATACCAGAAAGATGCTGATCTGTGTTTTATAGAGTATGCAAAGGCACTTAAATATGTGGATTGTAAATTATAGATGGCATTGGAAAGAATAGGACTTGCAGAGCACTTATTTTCACTCATACAGAACCCAGAGGCAGTACTTCCAACAGAAAAAATGCAAACTGAATGGTTTAAAATCAGGAAAGGTGTGTGTCACCTTATTTATTTAACCTGTATGCTGAGCAAAAATTTGAGAAACTGAACTGTATGCAGCATCAGGATTGAAGGAAAGGCTCATTAGCAACCTGCAGTTGCAGATGATACAACCTTATTTGCTGAAACTGAAGAGGATTTGCAACACTGATGATCAAAGACTATTGCCTTCAGTATGAATTATACCTTATAAAGAAAACAAAATTCCTCACAACTGGACAATATGTTATATCATGATAAAGAAAAGTTTGAAGTTGTCAAGCATGTCAGTGTATTTGGA